ATTATTTTAAAATCTTTATTCATAATTTATATCTTTATTATTTAAATAAACTCTAATATTCAGTTCAAAAACACGTTAAGTTTTGCAAACAAATTAAATAAATTGTTTCGACTTAAGGCTTAAGGAGTTGATGCTATTTATCTGCAATTGTATTACTTTTATGTCGTATTCTAGCGATAAAGTAATGTAAGAGATATTCACTGCTATTCCTATTCAGTGCCTTAAGTCACAACAAATCTCATATCAAAGCTTAATATAAAAGGATATATTCACTAAAGTATAGCCTATTGTACAGTATTGTAGAGTACATCTGACTTATCAATAGAGATGACAAAAGACATATCAAATTGTAATAATGTTTATAAATGTTTCGTATTCATTGTACTATTGCCCGCAATATTAATACTGTTGTCTCTAAAAGTATAAAAATGTATAAATATTTGATGGCATGTATTGTACAATGAATTAATGTTTGCTAATTGAAAATAGCTATCAGTGCGCGGGTGTAGTGAATATATCTCTAAATTATATATCTTTCAGAAAATAGTAATTAATATTCAAATCATATAATAGATTAAAATCGTATGAATGACTCCTCCGACACATATGGCATATGTTGGCGAAAATGTTTAAAACAATTATATATTTTTATTAGTTACGGACACAAAGTAATAATTTCTGTTATTAAAGGAGTAAATGAAAAGTAAAAATTTCAATTAAATAAACCTTCTGTACATTATTCTGAATAGTGATTCATTTGCAAAGAATTCATATGTAATGGATTTGTGACAATAAAAAACTTTTATTCTCGAAAATTATGTCAAAATCAATGAACTGTTTATTGGAATATGAATATACTGTACAGTGTACACTGTATATTATACAGTACAGCACTTGTACAATATACTGATACTATAAATATTGCATGTGCAATTCTTTACAAATTAAATCCACATTGTTAATGTTTATCACATTTTTGTAGATTTGGTATACAAATGTAATAAGTAGCGTACAAAACATGGACACCTTATAGATGATAGACAAGAGGGAGTAAATATGGGATTAGTATTAACTATTGAATGGGTAATGTCTGAAAGCACATCCATATTCAGTCTCAGAATTTCACTGAAATCGATCTTTTATTGCAATATTTTTAAGTAAAAAGAAATACTAATATATAAAGAGAAATAGTGAAGTCAACCTCAATTGAAGGATATTTAAGTAACTTTTGAGTGGATATCACACTACTGTAACTGTAATGAAGATTGAGTTCAATATGAATTTATGGCCACTAAATGGCAAAAAGTAGATCAGCAGACAAATGGTTTGCCATTTATTCAGTGGCCACCAATAAGTACTAATACAAGAGTGTAAAAAACCCATGAATTTGCTAGACTGTTGTGAACATAAATAAAATTATAAAGTTTTTAAACTTTGCGTTTCAGACACACTTTCAGATAAGTAAACAATTTATTAAAAATAAACCATTATACAAAATAAATCTTAGTTATAATGTTTACTGTGTTTTAATTGAGTTTTTAAAAATAATTAATGATATGTTTGAGTGAACAGTAAAAATATCTATAAATAAATAAAAAGTGGTCAAAGAATAAGACTCTAGTGTTGGTGAAAGTGGGGGCACTCGCAGAATGGCAGACATTTACCACTCTTGACATCCCGATAGAGACCTCGCTTACAGTCACAGCCGGATCGGCACACTTGCGGACAGACACGCTTGGGTTCAGTGCAGTGAGGAGTGCATGGCTTGCATTTATACCACTCCTCGTGAACGGGACACGTCTTGGGTGGACAGTCGTACTCTCGCACACACTTCTTGGTGTCCCAGTCGCGTATGAAACCCTGGTTGCAGTAACAGCCGGGAAGTACTACGGTATAGTTCTTGCACTTATGCCAATCGACGTGCGGGTGTTGACAGGTGGGTGCACACGAGTCTCCGTAATCGCTGTAGTGTTCATTTTCCGGACATATTTGCGCTATAATTGTAACAAATCAATAGGTAATGTATTTTAGTTTATTGTTAAATGATATTTGATTTGTTTTGAGGCAATCCTTACAGCAATCGGTGGGTTTGACGCAAAGACCGGTTCGGATGTCTTTGACATAACCGGCGTCGCAGAAGCAGCCGCTGACACACACGTCCTTATCCCGCGTGCATATCGATAGACCCCGGGGTTCGGCGAACTCGCACGTGGGCTGACATCTGGGCCCACACTTCTCGAAATGCGAGTGCGGTTTACATATTGCTATCAATTTGGGTATCAATAGTGTTAGTGAAAAATAAGGGATCATTTAAAAGTAAGATTTGTAAGGAGTATAGCACTGACCCGGACAATCACTTTTGGGAATACAGGCCCCGAATTCGCTTCTGACAAACCCATGGGCGCAGACACAGCCCGAGTGACAAGGAGGGGGTGGGTTGCGGTGATCATTGCTCGACTGTTTGTCATTGATTACGATGATAACCGGGTGGTCGTCTTGACCCGGCCTTTGGTTTCTGGCGCTAAACTCAGGACAGGGCAGTTGGTTCGGCAACTCACACGTGGGCTGACACGGGGTCACGCAATCGCTGATCATCTGCCATACGATAGGAAATTGTTATTAGATTTAAAATTTAATTAAATAAACTATTGATGGCTGACCTCATTGTGTCCGCACTTGTGCTCCGGCGTCACGACCACCACCTCTTCTACTTCTACTTTAACTAATGGCATGAAAACGTGATTAATGTTTAGTTTAACAATCAATTTGTATATACAATACCTCTATCCTGGTTACTATTGCGTTGTTGGGCCCGGACTACGTTGACTCGGGCCAGGATGTCATCGACAACGGCCTGTCTACTCGATAATACCGGCCCATTCGTATCAGCCAGTAATACACCAAATAGTGAACTTAATATCAATAAGGATAACATTTTGATGACAAGTTTGGTGAGAAATAAGTTAGTGATGGAAAATGAAATAGTTTTCATAAAAATGTTTTCGCAGATCTTTTTATACCCTAACCTCAAGACAGTCAATGACTTCTTAGAGATTAAAAAGTGATGAACCTATCAAAGTGATGGTCAGTTATGGTGGGTTGAGTGCATTTTTATTGACCATTTATTGTGTTAATAGATTAATGGGTAGGCCCAAATAATTGCAGGTGTACAGGTACAAAACTACTGCATTAAACAGGTTTTATATGAAAGTAAAGTGTGTTCAGTATTGATAAGACAATCTTATGACTTATTTTGTGTGAGATGTTTACAAAGTATTTCATGTGATTTGAAAGCATATTGTATAAAGTATTAATATTAGTTGTAATGCAATGTGACACCCTATACTTTTAATAAAATATTTTTGCCTCCAATTATTTGGCCCTATTAATGGGTTATTGACTTCAACACAAACCATGGATTGAAAATCAAGAATTTTATAATAAAGGGTATTATCGGACACTTGTACTGCAAACTACCATTGTAAATAAAACCTGGATGTTAATCTGTAAAACAAATTTTTAAACATTAATGCTTGTATTAGAGGCTCAAATCAGTGAAAACCTATAAATTGCTTTCAATTTCTAATGAATTTTGTTTTCTCTCTCAATATTTGGTCCAATTTTAAAGTTTGGAAGTTTTGACAAAAAAGTTTAATTTTATTTGATGACATAACTTGACACTAGTATAGTGAACTAAAACATCAGTACTGTAAATACCTAAATATTATTATTCCCATTATTTCTAAATAATTACTTTAAATATAGGCTTTTAATAGTAAAAATAATGTTAATTCAATTACTTTTAGACTAAAACATTAGATTTGATAAACTGTAAGAACTGTAAGACTAGCGAAATGTTTCAAAAGTGTTACGTAAGCTGTTTGTGACCCTATTTGACAACACATGGGTCCGGGTTTAATTCAATTACTTTTAGACTAAAACATTAGATTTGATAAACTGTAAGAACTGTAAGACTAGCGAAATGTTTCAAAAGTGTTACGTAAGCTGTTTGTGACCCTATTTGACAACACATGGGTCCGGGTTTAGGGGGGGTTTGGGTCAACAATACTGTAATCAATAAACACATTGTATTTAAGACTGCATTCAATATAAATAAAAAACATTTAAAACTTTATAACATTTACTCGAAATAATGTCACAAAATATGACATAAGAGTACAGTATATATGAATTGATGGCAAGGGTTGTACTGTTAGTTGTGAAGGGGGTGTCACTGGGTTTGAGTGGTCGGGGGGCCAACCCGGGGGTCGTGTGTCATGTGATCGCCAAATGGTTTCCATTTTTGTCATTCGTTTGTCGACTGTTTGCGTGAATTTGATCCCAAAGTGACAATCAATACAAATGGCCATCAATTTCAACGACTTGTCGGACAGACAGCTGTCGGCGTTGGGCCTCAAGAGGTGTCCATACAATAGGTCGCACACCATGAAGAGGCACAGGTATGCCATTCATGTGACCCATTGCTACGACCTGATGGACCGAACAGAGAGGGACCGATGGACTGTCTGTCCATTCAATGACAGCCATCGCGTACTGAAGGACGACCTCCACGTCCATGTCGTCGAGTGTCCGTCCAATGGGTCGGTCGTGTTGGCCGTCGTCCAGCAGATGAATGGCTATCCAAGAGCTAATCCAATAGCCATCAAACCGGAAGAGCCGGACATTGGTTTGTATTGTTTTGATGAGTGATTGACTGGTAATTGGTTTTTGGTGTCAAACCAGACGTCAAACCAGATGTCAAACCAAAGCTCCACTTATTCGACACGAATGGCAATGATTTGGCCGAAAGTGTGGTCACAAAAGGTAACCAAATATAGTGACAATTATTGCCACGAATTGACGTCTATTTGAATGAATGGTTCAGAAGAGAAAGCCGTCAAAAGTGAGCGCAAAGTGATGGACGAGTGGTCTCGAAAGTGTGGTCACAAAAGGTAACCAAATATAGTGACAATTATTGCCACGAATTGACGTCTATTTGAATGAATGGTTCAGAAGAGAAAGCCGTCAAAAGTGAGCGCAAAGTGATGGACGAGTGGTCCACCAAATCGGTGTACGACAAGCCATTCATCAGCGTCTATGAGATGGACATTAAGACCGCCGAACAGTTGATGGAAGCGTCCAATCCTATGGATACGAGTGCTCTGCAGAAGCTGTCGAAGTATCAGAGGAAACGCTTCTACACAATGAGGGTTCAGAATATACAGAACCACCAAAATGAAGGTCCCATTCCTCCGGAGTCGCCGCCAGAGCCGGCGCCCACTCGAGACCCGACGTCGCGGTACTTTTGGTCTCACTTTCGGCCAAATCTGACGATAAGTTTCTGGTCGGAAGACAACTCGCGCAGCGTTTCCATCAAACCAGAGATCAAACCTGAGATCAAATTGGAGACCAAACCAGAGATTAAATCGGAGACAAATGGCGGCCGTGCCAGAGGTGGCGAAGGGCTGACTCGCGATCGCATTTATAAGAGTTTGCATTCAGTGGAGGAATACGTGGATTACCACAAACTCATACAAAAGGAGGCAAACATGAGGGGAGAGAATAATGATTCAGCGATCACTCGATGTCTTAGAAACACTGAACTCACGCCCGAAGACAGGAATGAGATCCAAGTCTTATGCGAGAAGCCGTTACGCAAACCCACGACCAGACCATTTGAGGCTAAACTCAGACGTCCGACCATTAAAGCCGAAGCGAAAGATTAGTCAAATCACTTCCCATTCATTCATTGGATTTCGTTTTTGATTGTATTTATCATAACTTTTGAGTAAATTTCTATTTTTGTGTTAAGATTTCAAATGTATTTAAAACTTTGATTTGTTTTTCTTATGTTTTTTGTTTATTTTGTATAATGTATTCATAATCTGTTGATTTTATAGTTTTACGATTAAGTCCATTACAATATAACCGGTAATAATCTGTTGTTTTTCGCTTTACCGGTACTATTCATGTATTTACAGTATTTCTTATGAAACAATTATCAAACTTATGTTAAGTATTAAGTATTACCTTTAATTACTTTTGTGTAATAAATAAATATAGTTAAATCTATAATTTATAAATCTTATAAATAAATCTTAATGAATATCATTCATTGTGATGTCAGTGTATGAATGTTTAGATTTTAAAAATATAATTATGTGAAACACAGCGCCAAATGTTTGTGGCATTGGTTGCGAACCAATCACATGACGTGAATGCTTAGCATTGCTTACTATACCGTAATATTTGTAAACATAACACAATTGCCGCAAAACTTAACCATTCACTGCATTTGCGATCATTTTATGATATAAGCGGTGATTGTGGTGACCGACACACCAGTGATGGCAAAGTGTGTCAAACTGATGGTCTGGAACAGAGAGCCCGAAACGGTTGCGCTCATCAAAGGCCTCATGGGATCAGTCGTGGAGATCGTGCAGACGGATGGCAATCGTGTGGTGACACACCAGTGATGGCAAAGTGTGTCAAACTGATGGTCTGGAACAGAGAGCCCGAAACGGTTGCGCTCATCAAAGGCCTCATGGGATCAGTCGTGGAGATCGTGCAGACGGATGGCAATCGTGTGGTGGGAACTGTTGACAACTACACCCTATCCGATGGCGACTACGTGTTTGAGTTGATCCGCACCTCAATTGGTGGCAAATTTATCGGTTACTATCGGATCTTTGACTGCGAAGTGAAGAAATGGAGGCTTAAGGAGTGGACACCGCCGAAGAATGGCACCCATTATATGGACAACACGTCTATTAACGGGTATTTCGATGTCTTATTTATGTGGTAAATGTTTTGACACTTTCTCTGCGATGGCCAGTAGTGTGAACTCGGGATCAGATGAGTCATGCAAAGTGATAATACCGTCGCAACTGAATGGCAACGCAGAGGAGGAGCCGATGGTGGAGGAGAACGAGGCGGACCACCTGTTTGTCAACCCGGAGGTCGAGTCCATAGATCTGCTGGAAGACGACATTCCCATTGCCATCAATTTAAGTCATTTGACTCTTAAGACGAGCGACAATCTCGTAGTTGTTGACAAAATGGGTGACAATTTGGACGCAATTATTAACTCAATGATGGCATCAAATTGTGTTGGCTTTGAACTGTTCGGCGAAGAGATCGGTCGTAACGGATCCGTTGAGTGGATGTCTGTGGCGACCGCAGAGGCCATCTATGTCTTCAACGCTCACAATAAGGACATTGTTTTGTCACTAAAACCAGTGCTACAGTCGAGAGAAGTACGGAAAGTTGTCTTCAATTGCAGGCATCTTTCGGACGCTTTGTATCACTTGTTTGGCATCCAATTGAAGGCCGTAATCGACATCAGAGTCTTTGATCTCTTCGTCCAGAGAAAGCGCGCGAATGAAGCGCTCGAGAATCACATGGCTTTCCATCTGCCGAAGTTGCGAACCTTCGATGAGATACTGTCGGATCAGTTGATGATAAAAGTACCGCAACTCTACAAGAATCTCAATTACAAGCACTTCTCAGTTCGTGTCCAGAATGCCATAATAATAAAGACAGTATTCCTGAGACAACTGTACGCTCTTCTGAACCACCAGTTGCTCGAAGAACTCATTATAATGACCGCACGGTGTGAGCGATCCCTGCGCTTAGCCAATGACCTCCAGTACGGTGTCTTGAAAGGGGACGACGCGCTCAGCCATATGCTGGACGAGCCCATCAATGACTGCGAGCGCACAGAGCGCCGACACATTGGTTTGCCTGCCGTCCACCTCTCAAAGCCACTCAAGCGGTAGCCAATTGTTTCAGTTCTTATGGCAATCACTCACTCATAAGAATTAGTTCCTAATTATTATCATATCTTCTTAATTACACTCATTTGATCACTCATTTTCAAATCATTCAGTCAAACATTATTTCATTTCTATGCCAATGGTTTCATACAATTATCAATTTGTTTTATATTACCGTAAATAACAATATCAATTATGAATTGAAATATGAATTACTTTTTTGTATTAAAATTAATTTTGTTTACATTCTTTTGAATTATTTAATTGTTATTTTGTTGAAATGCTATACTGTAAATTAAACAGTTGTGATTAGAAAAAAACACTTTACTCAATTGTTAATCATGTTATGCGTTAAATTATGTTTTAAATATAGTTAAAGCATGTGAACCACATTTCTTCCCATTGCTATCATTCAAAATATATGTAATTTAAGAATTATGCTATTTATATACGGTACAATTAAATTTTATATATCAGATTTCGAAAAAAGTTTTGTCCATCAGATTTGACTATTTGCCTGCCGTCCACCTCTCAAAGCCACTCAAGCGGTAGCCAATTGTTTCAGTTCTTATGGCAATCACTCACTCATAAGAATTAGTTCCTAATTATTATCATATCTTCTTAATTACACTCATTTGATGACTCATTTTCAAATCATTCAGTCAAACATTATTTCATTTCTATGCCAATGGTTTCATACAATTATCAATTTGTTTTATATTACCGTAAATAACCATATGAATTATGAATTGAAATATGAATTATGGATATGAATTACTTTTTTGTATTAAAATTAATTTTGTTTACATTCTTTTGAATTATTTAATTGTTATTTTGTTGAAATGCTATACTGTAAATTAAACAGTTGTGATTAGAAAAAAACACTATTTACTCAATTGTTAATCATGTTATGCGTTAAATTATGTTTTAAATATAGTTAAAGCATGTGAACCACATTTCTTCCCATTGCTATCATTCAAAATATATGTAATTTAAGAATTATGCTATTTATATACGGTACAATTAAATTTTATATATCAGATTTCGAAAAAAGTTTTGTCCATCAGATTTGACTACTAAAATGCGGGTTATTGCTAGCGTTGGAAAGAACATGAAAAATGATCGAACACCTCTATCGGGATTTCGCAGGTAACATCCTCATTGAAGGGCTGGGAGGCACGGAATTTAGGAATTTTATATAAATTTTCATAAATCAAAAATCTAATTAAAGCATGATAATCCTCTTAAAAAATGACCAACAATTCAATTTTAAATTTTTTAAATATCTCAAGTAATGCCTGAGCTAGAGCATTTTAAATTTTCTAACATTTCGTCTAATTTGTTTTTGATATTAAATTCCTGTGAAAAATAGTGAACTTTGACTTGCTCTAGATCAGTTATTTCTTAAGTTATCTGAAAGTTTTAAAATTCTAATATTATTAATTTTTTGAGCCCTATTTGACGATTAAATCTGATTTTTGATTTAAGAAATATTTATAGAAAATTCTTACATACCGTACCTCCCAATCCCTCAATGAGGATGTTACTTGCGAAATCCCGATAGAGGTGTTGGATCATTTTTCATGTTCTTTCCAACGATGTGCTGATTGTCTCTCTACGACTTATACTTTTTGCTGTACAGATAACCTACCTGTGCCGACCTACCGGTGCTCTAAACTAGTACTCTCTTCGGGAGAATATGTAAGACCAAAAACCATAGTTGAGGTTTAAATATAAATTTGATAACTTAAATAGTTTAGCAATAACCCGCATTTTAGTATTGGAGAATATGTAAGACGAAAAACCATAGTTGAGGTTTAAATATAAATTTGATAACTTAAATAGTTTAGCAATAACCCGCATTTTAGTAGTAAAATCTGATGGACAAAACTTTTTTCGAAATCTGATACTAGTAAATTTATAAAATAAAATATCTGAATTATTTTTAGATATTTTATATTTTCATATACAGTGGGCATAGACATTTTTAGATAGATTATTTATTTAAGGTTAAATTTAATGCAATAACATTATAACAATATAACAATTATGTATTAATTTCACTTTACAATTTGTCAACAAAATTAATTTATTTATTCAAATGCAATGATAATATAAATCTTATTACATGTGTGGGAGAGATAAATATATGACATTTCTATTCACATCACATATTCTCATAGAAACTCAATGTATGAATACTAATGAATCAAACCGTTTGACTGACAAAAAAATATGTGATTAAGGATTTGATTAGATTTCTATATACAGAATATTCTGGGCAGGTATTACACACCGTAACCAATAAATATACCTGGATACACAATAAAATAAAATATTTATTTAATTACATTTAATCCCCTAGTCTATTTTACCGTTTTAACGTCAATTGATTATTGTGTGTTAACTCGACGTATAATAAGCTTAATGCTAGTTAAAGTACAGTATACATACGGAGAGATGGTCACGACCACATGGGCTGGCAATATAACACTATATAATATGCACTCATGTCATAATTTGAATTACCTACAGTGATAGTAAGTTCAGATACTATTTAGTTTTCAATTAAGAGTTTTGAGCTACATATTTTTTGCTAAGAGAGAGAGAGAGAGAGAGAGAGAGAGAGAGAGAGTACAGAATATTATGTGAAATAAACAAAAATATATATTTAATTCATTACTTCAGAGATACTGTATATACCGCCCGCCAGTACACGGAGTCTAATGTCTAATGAATTTAATCAGAAATTCTTAGAGATTTTTATTAAACTTTATTTCGTGTGTTAGTTATTATTATAACTTGATAGGCTTATGAATGCGTTTATCAGGGTTAATATTTGTCCATTTATTATGCTTCTATTTATACAGTTTATTATTTTATATAATATATCATAAATATTATTCTTGAGTTTTTTATTACACGATTCTCACTCAATAAATATGCCCTTAAATACATAGAATACAGAAATGCACAGAATTTCCACAGAATTTGTAACAGATTTCCCACTCATTAACCTATTTATGGTTTGTATGAAAGCAACTTAAAAACTATTAAATATATTTTCTCTCCTAAAAAATATATGGTTTAATGTCTCGCTATTTACTAATACCAGGGAAGCACGTAAAAGTCGTATTTAATTTTGATTTATTTTATTTATATTTGCTCTTATACAATTAGTGGATACTAGTATTAAGTCTCTCTCTCTCTCTCTCTCTCTCTCTCTCTAAGCGTTTAATTCCCAGAAAATAGTAGATCTTTGCGATTAAGAAATTTTTTCATTTCGTGTGTGAATTATATATAACATTACAGTATTGCCCGGGATTTGTATTTAAAAAGATTTATCCACAAGAATTAGTTTTTAGGTTTTTTTTCAAATGCTTAAGTGTTGTTTACTTTACACATAAATATCCTGTTTATTGATAAAGTTAGTATGTAATATCATGTTCAAACTTTCTATGAAGTTACCATTTATTTTATTTATGAATTTGCTATAGATTGTTGTAAGGAAATACAATAATTCATCAAGTTTAATATTATTTTCAATAATTAAGTACGTTTTCAAATTAAAAGTTTACTCTTATTAATAATTTATAAATTGTAATAGCATTTTTATTATCCGAGAACATATTATATATTTGTTACATAATATATAATTTATTATATATTTATAATATATTGTATGTTAAATGTGGATAATA